GCAAAGGGATCATTAAAACCTTGCTAGAAATGGCAACTGTTCTGAGAGTCACTGACCCTGTATCAGGAAGGAAACTAAGCTTGCTAGTGAGTCCAGCCCTGTTGGCAAAGCATTGGTAATGGTTGACCCCATGACTCCTAAGTGTGTGCTCCAAGTTCAGTTGTGCTCACCTGCCTTCCTGAACCTGGACTCAGCTCTGCACCTAGGATTGTGGGTGTTTGCTGAATTAGGGCCTTAATGACCGAAGCCGTGCAGCTGGGTTGATCTGTCCTACAAACTTCTACCAACATAACTGTCAGTCTGGGGCATTAAGAGACGTGACCCCACCAGATAGAGCTGTACCTGCAGAAACGCCTTGTGTAGACACAGATATCTTGGAGAAAACAGACCTTTGACCAGTGTGGCATATGTGTTTAGGGAAGTACTGGTACAGGGCAGAGTTTTAATGCTGTAGCTGCTACTCCACTTGGACGGCTTTGCTGGTATAGGATACTAGCATTGCTATACTGCTACGAGTGTAAACCTCTGACATTTGGAGTGCATCCAGCATTGGGGAGGAAACCATTTCCTTGGGAGCACTCTGTCTGCAAAGAGCTACTGCTTGTACTAGTGAAAATGACCATCACAAAAAGGAAGCAAGTGGCACTTGGCAACTGCTGGGATTTTCCAGATGTGCTAATCTACTTGCCCAGCAGGCGCCAACTCAGCTGTTTTGTTTCATCCCCCTTCCAGTTTTTGTGACCCTTAAATATAAAGTCGACTGGCAAAAAAGCCTTGCTTTTCATTTGGACTTAATGTTGTGCTAAGCAAAGAAACCACAGTGGTGAGGCCTAGCTTCTTGCACCAGTGCTGATGAATTAGACCAGTAAGCACCGATGCAGTGGTGACAAAGTGGACCAGATAGAAATGGTCCATGTTGCTGGAGGCAGGGCTGGTGAAGGACCATCCCCATAACACCCATGATGGCACTTTTCTTACATTCTTATTTCAGGACTCGTGTGCACACCTAACAGCCATGGCACCCTGGATGAGAATCACTGATCTAAGGTTTTGCGATTTTTAGTCTAATCCAAGACATGTTTCCACGGGCAAATGCAGAAACTGAGCAGAGCTGTCTGGAAGCCAGATTCTTGCAGTTGATCCACTAAGTTTACCATGTGCTTTGATGAGGACTACTGTAGTGTGAGCTTTATCTAATGTACAGTAAATGAGTGCTCAGAGATATCTGCAAAGGACTTTTGGTTTCCAAGACTGTTACATATGCACTTTAATACTTACCTCTGGTGTTGAACCACATGATTTAAATACAAAAATATTCTCTGCCACTTTATACAATGCAAGTAATGGCACTTAATTTACTGAGCCTTGATTTAGCAGAAAACTGTGGAAAAGGGTTTGTTTTTTTACTTGCCTTTCTGTCCAATATACAACTTTGCTTTGTGACATTGTAATCCGTCATTGGTAAAAAGTATTTGCCAGTTTTCTGTTTGTTTCAATAAAGTGCATGTCTCTTACTGCTGCCTCAGGTTTTTAATGCCGACCGAAAATATGCATAAAAATAACATTTCATCTTCCACTTCTGTACAGCCATTTCTAGGGTGCAACATGATTGCATCTTTACTAGCTCACAGCAATACTGGATCTTAGTTGAGTGGGCAGAAGCAAAGAAGCCATATTCACTTTGTTGCAATGAGAATTTAGTTATGTGTCCCACCATCCAGATTGGGGATGGGATGAAGAATGCTCACCCTAGCTGCTTTTGCCTGTTGAGAAGAACGGTGTATCCAAACACCATCGAACTACCTAATGCTTCTGTGGGGCACAAGTCCAAGTATTGATTCTGAGAAAAGTAACTCCATATGGCAGCCCTTGGTATGATTGCCAAAGTATTACAAAGCATTGAAAGATAAAAGGCTTGTCAAAATTAAAATGATTTCTGAGGAATCCAGGATTACTTTCATGTTTTTATAAATCTTGTTAAAAGACTGGAAAAGAAAATAGTGCTGAGAGCATGGTAAGTGGTTGGTGCAGCCTCTGGAATGGTGTTCAGTGCTGGTGTTGAATCTCAAGTGAAAGCAGAAAACCAAATCCAGAAATGGAGGACAAAAAAATGATGAAGGTGCTGAAGAAGTTTTTGATATGAGGAAAGCTGAATGATTGGAGTCTGCTTAGGTTGGCAAGAGGAACGTGGTGGGCCATGTCTTGGCTTCCCTAGAGGCTGCCATTTTCTGATATTGGAGCTGGTCTGCGACCCATGGACTCAGTTGAGAGGTTGGAGCTGCATTTCAATGATGGGTGAAGTCAGCCCTGTACGTACACCCTGGAAATGCCTTGGGAGCCAACATCTGGATAAACAAGTATTGTATCAGCATAACGAATTATAATCAGTATCTAGAGGGATAGAAGGGCATAGGGGATTGCAACCCAGGGTAGCTTGAAACCTCCCAGCAGAGAACCTGGGAGAGATTGCAATGAGACAAGAAGGGCATGCTCATGTTCGGGTCTGGAATGGGGATGCATCTGCTTGTGAAAGCTGCAGGTTTGTGGAGTTGGATGTGGCTTGTGCACATGAGCAACAGGAGTGCAGCGCCCCACTGACTGTCTCTGCTTCAGAACAAAGTTCTGTTCCTTGTCTACAAGGCATTTCCATAACAGCACGTGTAGAAGGAGGTAGGTACACCCCTAGGGAGCCCTGCCATAGCTTTCCAGCAAGGTCTCGCTGCTCTCATGTAGCCCATATGTGCTCAAGGTGAAAACGGGGGAAAGGCATATAAACAACATTCATTGGCACCAGCTCCTCATTTTGTCCAATACGTGGCATATATCATTTGATGGGAAAGGGAACCCTGGCGCCGATGTGAAGTGCCTTCTTGCCAAGCCTTAATGCAATCAAGATTTACATTGTCTGCCAGGTCATGCACTCAGCAGCAGTCCAGATCCACCCACACCCCAAAACGTGTTGCTGTGAGTGGGAGAGAGACTCCAGAAGCAAACAAAGGATTGCTTTACTAAAAGGAAGTTTATTAAACAAATGGTTTGAAAATCACAGGCTGTGAAAGGCAAGGGAGAAAGCTGGGTTATCACTTGTAACTCAACTGATCAGTCTAAAGAGGGAAAGCCACAAGGTAAAGACCTGGGCAAAACACTCTCTACATCTCTGCACCACAACGGAGCAGAGGTTAGAGGAGGGGAAAGGTTCTTCTGCCCTGGAGTGAAAGCTAAGCAAGGAACTGTCTCTCCTACCTGATGCTCAGTCCCCACAAGAGAGGAATCTATTGAGTTCAATTTTTAGCACTTAATCTTGCCATGGGCAACATGGGCAGATTGATACTAGGGTCTGGGGATGATTGCTATTGCCTTCATTGCTATAAAATTTTTTTCTTCCTCGGGCAAAAATAAATGTATTTAATGAGTTTCAAAAATAATTCACAAGACCTCTACCTGCATTAGTATTTCTGATCCATTATGCAGATTGTGCACTGTTTGTAATATTGTACAGTCAATTCCATTTACTTCGACGGACTGCAGTTAATTATTAAGATGTTTGCTGCTTATCTCATTATTTATTCTTGTTTAATAACATATTTGCTACTAAGTTATGACTTTTAATTAAGCACAGGTTAGCAAATAGAATTTAAGGTAAAATATTACCTTCCAGTTTAAAGCAACAATAATTACTCGTGCTATTTATAGACACAGTTACAGCCAACACAGCTTTGTAATGGCAACTAATGATCTTTTATTTATTTTTTTCTCAAAGGGAGGGCTCTTGGGCAGATGAAGTGATGTGGAAGGGGTCACCCAGCTGGTCAGTGGCAGAGCTTGAAATTGTCTGGGTCTGCTGAGCCTGATCTGATTGCTTGGCCATCCCAAAACACCATTGTACAAAAGTCCATTAGAACTGCTGGGGCTGGGGTGGGAAGGTGACAGGATGGTTCCCCAGAACGGAGGCTGTCCCTTCATCTCCGCTGCCTCAAAAGGAGGAAGCGTAAAGGCTAACGTGTGGGTGTTGGGAAACATTAGCATTGTCAGGATTTATTAGTGCCTACTGCACGGGTCTCGTGTATCACAGTGCTTTACACCAAGACAACATGAACGCAGCTGGAAGGGATAGCTTAGCAACCTAAGCTGCTGTTTGAAACAGCGAGGCTCCCTGCAACTACCCGCTCAAATCCCAGCAGGGTCATCTTTGCCTCGCAGCCTGCTCTCCCGTCAGAGGTCGAGCTCTGGGCGTCTTGCTGTGGGTAGGTCATCCAAGGTCCTGGCTGCAGAGTGGATGTGACTGGTCCAAGGGCACACTTCATTAGTGTACAGGTCCATCCGGAGGAGCAGGAGGTGCCTGCCTAGAGACACACGAGCAAGGACAAGCGTCGTGACCGTCAGGCCAAGGGGCACGCCTGAAGGAAGACATGTCTCCATTGGGAGAAAGGCAAGGCTTTTTCCACTATAATTTAGACGAGAACTTCCTCTGATTCAGCCCACAGGACACTTACACAGGCTGGGAACTAAGAGCCTGGTTTTGTGATCTACACTGTGCAAAGCCTCCCAACTTTACTCCGCGTCTTGGTACCCAGCTGCTGCATCACCTCCACCATGCCTAATGCCCTGCATCCTCTTGCTGAGGTACTGCAGAGGACCAAGCCCAGGGTACCCTGCTCCACCCGTGTCTGGTACCAATGCATCCAGCCTCGTTATGGTGACGGGGAGGAGGGTGAGGAGACTGGGAGGGCTGGAGCAACTGGGAGAGGGGAAGCAAGGAACAAGAGGAATGCAGCGTACGGGAACCGGGCACAAGCTACCAGGACAGGCAGCCCCAAGCTCTGCACATGCGCACTGCCCGCCATCCCTGTCCCACGCCCCGCGCATGCGCAATAGTGCTCGCCGCATTCCCTCCTTCCACCAGCCCCTCGGCGCATGCGCTTTCGGCCCCCTCACCTCCGTGAGCCGCGCAGGCGCGCTGAGGCCCGCCTCCACCGGCCCTCCCCCCTGCGCATGCGCCGTGCCCCCTCCGGCGCGGGGAGGGGGATGCGGACGGGGGAAGATGGCGGCCTCGAACAACCCGCGGAAATTCAGCGAGAAGATCGCGCTGCACAACCAGAAGCAGGCGGAGGAGACGGCGGCCTTCGAGGAGGTGATGAAGGACCTGAGCCTCACGCGGGCCCATCGGGTAAGCTCGGCGCGGGCGGCCGGACCCTCCGGGGCGCTGCTGCCCCCTGGCGGCGGGGCGCGGCG